CTGCATTACAAGGGACAGTCTGTGGACATAAATCTTACAAATACATGCCTATGCCATAAAGCAGCACATGCAAAAACTAACTTCAAATACATATGGAAAGATTTGTTTTAACTAAACAATTCAATATGGTTAAATGTGAACTCTCATCCTAGAGGGGTGCACAAGAATCCAACCGGTATGAAAAAATATTAAAGATTTATGATGACGGCACGTTGGCAATAATGGCTTTGCATATCAACAATCAAGAAACACAATTTCCACCTAATTTCAGCAACAGACAGAAGATGACATATTCATTACATGCATTAATTTTTATCCACGGTTAAAATTGATACATTTTCAATATCATTTGTATTTTAAGTTTTAGAAACTTACAAACTGACCATTTATGACAAACATGTTTGCATATTTGCTATGTAACAAAAAAAACCCCTGATCTGTTACAACACCAGTGGAAACAAAACTGGGACAGGTTTGCCATTTTTTTCCCCTTTACTAAACTTAAAGTATTGATAATTCAAAGAAATCATGCAATACATACGGAAAAGAGTACTTTCATAATTAACAGGTATAACTATAAAACAGGATGGCTTCAGTAAAACATATACATATGAACTGTACAAAATTCTAATACTGCTAGTCTAGAGGCACATGATAGAGCAATAAGAATTGCCGTATCCTAATCTCCACATGGCAATAATTTCAAACTGATATTATTATTCTCATTTCCTTGAATAATATCCATACTCCAGGGTCATTTTCCTTCTCATATTCAATATTGTGCATGCTTGTATCAAGATTCCTTTCTTCATATCCTGTCACAGTATCAATCACTGCCTCCTGTCCACTCAATCCACTTTTGATTTATCAGCCGCCGTCTTTCTGGACTCCATAACTCGACCCAAACCATTTTAACAAGACATTGACAAATAGCACTCAGTATCGCATCAACCTGTTCCACTTAGTAAACTAAGAAACACTAACTGTGACATCTCTGCATAAGTATTCTATTCCATTCCCCAGACTGATGTATATTAATGAGGAGATGGTATTTGAAATGCTTCTTCCACATCAGCATATAATATGATCAAATTAGGAAATGGGATGATTTATTAAATTTTGTAGAGCTGAAATATTTCTTTATATCACTATATCTGTGGTTTCAGAAAGTGAGCTGTTGCTTTCAATTTTTCTACTGAGGATGTGCCTGCATTTCACAGACGAATTATTGTCTTTAAAAAGATTGCAAGAAGGCAAAATGTTATTAAGCAAATGCTCAGTAAAACAAACTAAATCAGTTTTAAAATTCCTAATTTAATGTAAATCTTGGTTGTTTTGTTGAAATTCAGTTTGTGATCTTATTAAGTCATATTTGCATTGTAGCATTTTGCTGTAGGACAATTCTGAATCACAGCATTCCTAGGCAGCTTCAATTCTTGACTCAAGATGCACCCAAAATGAAATAAACACTTGTAATGTGAACATCTGTGTTTTATGTTTTGGATTAAGGAAACCTATATGAATCCTTAAATATGGAAAGACCAATTTTGTATATTTGACACTGTGCACTTATCTTCATTTTCACCACAAACACACACACAAAACCAACAAAATACTTAGTTGCAGAATTTCCTAAAAGCTTACTTTGCTGCAAATGCCATGCCATTTAAAATTTGGAATCAAAACTCTAAATACCCAAATATTATACAGAACCCTGGGTTCCTTTCTTTTGTTTCCTCTAACTATAGAGCTTCCCTCTTACACACACTCCCCAAAGCCCAAACTTCCATAAGCATAGACATTTCTGTTTTAAATGGGTTTGGTGGTCTATACTAAGCTTTCACTGGGAATTAATTTCAGCATATGTTTTATTTAACTTGGCCTTTTTTACTTACACAAACCTGAGAGATAAGGGAGGCTATGTGTTAAAAAAACTGCTTCCTTCAGTGACAAAAATATTCTACCATCATGCATTTAATTTCAGAATTGCTCAATGTATATCTCCTTAAAGGGAGATACTTTATACTAGCTATATACAGATAAGAGGGATCTAAGAAGCATAAGACAAATTACACAGCTATCTTTGTAAAACCAAGGACACAGAGCTAAACAAAGAGCTGTATGCCCTGAACCACACTGACTGAGCCATCATTCTATAGTTCTCAACACTTAAAATGGTAAAGAACTTTTAACTGCTGATTATAATGACATAGGAGATCAGTACAGAAAGAATTACAGACCCACAGAGGATTACAATTCCATTTACAACCACACACAAAATTATTGTTCAACAGCAAGAGAAATAGCAGTAACTCGTAAATCTATCCAGACATTCCAAATATCAGCTTCCACTGATCTTGCAACTTTGGCCCCTTGCATTCACTCAGTCTCCTTCACATATGCACGCACAAACCTCCACCCATCCATGTGGAAGCTGGTCCTCTATGGTGCTGTCCCATCAGCTGAATACCATGGGTATCTATATATATTTACCCCTGAGCCGGCTTTGCTGGGAGGGCGGGGTAAAAATCTAATGAAATAAATATATTTCATATGTTGTTGAATCCCATCCTTCCTCCAAGGAGTTTGAGAAGACATACACCTACTAATGTGGGTCCTTCCTGAATGGCTGGACATGCTTAAATGACTGCAATATCAAGCCATATGGGATAATCCTTCTGGACAGTAACTTTCATATCCCTGCAGGTGTGTGTGATACAGGTCTGCAGCTGCTACCATTACAGAAGTTCTGTCCTGGCTCAAAAGAAAGCTTGTCTTTATTAATTCCCAATCCATGCCCCCAAAACACGACCATTTGGCCACATACCCAAGATTATATGATTGTTCTGCCTTTCTTTTTCCTCTCTTCCTGAAGGAAATCAGCTGGGAATTTTAATATTAATATTAGAGACACAAATACACACAAAGCAGTAAGTTAAATTGTTTCACAATTATTACACGATAGCAATGTAGCATCTCCTAAACATTTGTGATTTGAACTATTTGGGGATCACAAGAACATCAGAATTCAGGTACTATAACACACATGAAACTGCCATACACTGAATCAGACCCTTGGTCCATCAAAGTCAGTATTGTCTACTCAGAGAGGAAGCAGCTCTCCAGAGTCCCAGGCAGAGGTCCTTTGCATCACCTGTTGCCAGTTCCTTTAACTGGAGATGCCATGGATTGAGCCTGACACCTTCTCCATACAAAGCAGATGTTCTACTATAGGACTTCATACATTCTGACCTACTTTAAGAAAATCCTTAGAATAAAAACCAGTCAGTCCTTAGGGTGCCACAAGACTCCTGCTTATTTCTACCTACAGGTCTGGATACAAAGATCATCTGCTGGTCTCAGAAGAAAGAGCCTTTTTCCCCTCCAGCTGCACCACCCTGAACCACACTTGTCTTGCAGTTCCCAAGGGTCCTCTGACTCCACGGAGCAGCTTATCAAGATGTACAAGGGGTGCCATAGGAAGAAGAGAGAAAGCCCTGTTGTAGTAGCAAGATTCCACTCCTGCTGGTTGGATCCAATAGGTTATCTCCTTCATGTTCTCAGCAGTCTTGCAACTTCGAACATATGTTCACTTCAAAAGTGTTCATTTTGCATGAAAAAATGCTACCATGAAATGCTACGATGTTTTACTTTCATCCCAAGTCTACCATTCAGGTCATTGCAGCTATTAGGGATGTTAATGTAACAACCCTAAAAAAAATGCTTCTAGTGCTATTATCATGGCATGTACACCACAACCTGGAACTGCAGTGGCTCAAGTGGTTAAGATGCTGAACTGCAGGCTGTGGAAGGTCGGTAGTTCAGCAGTTCGAGACCCGAGTGTGCCGCATGGCGGCGTGAGCTCCCGTCTCTAGTTCCAGCTCCTGCCAACGTAGCAGTTCGAAAGCAAGAAATTGCAAGGAGATAAATAGGTACCACTTCAGTGGGAAGGTAACAGCGTTCCGTGCAACTTGGTGTTTAGTCATGCCGGCCACATGACCACGGAAATGTCTTCGGACGGCACTGGCTCTCCAGCTTTGAAATGGAGATGAGCACCGCAACCCTAGAGTCGGATTCGACTGGCATTCGAGCAAGGGAACCTTTACCTTTACTTATACCACAACCTAAGTATCAAACTATTTATAATGACTAATAGTTCAGTTTATGTCCTGACATGAATGGCCCAGGCTAGCCCAATCTCATCAGATCTCAGAAGCTAAGCAGGGTCGGCCCTCATTAGTACTCAAAATGGGAGACCACAAAGGAAGTACAGGGTTGCTAAACAGAGGCAAGCAATGGCAAATCACCTCTGTTTGTTTCTTGTCTTGAAAAGCCAATGGAGTCACTATATATTGGCTGTGACCTAATGGCATTTTCCACCACCATGAGCTTTATTTAAAACTACCAGACAAGGGGAAAAGGAAAGTCATCCTAGTCCAACCTCTTGCACTGAAGCTAAGTAGCCCTTTAAAGTTGACACAAGATGACTATCACCACTAGGGATGGGCACGGACTGGTTCAGACCTAATTTTGTGACGAATCAGGTCCCAATTCACAGTGCATTTGCCCAGTCCATGTATTTGTGGTTTTGATGAAGCACCCACGGACTGCAATTTTTTCGGTGGTCTGTTTGGTCTGTTGGGGCAGTCTGTTGGGGCCTTGCCAGTGAGCTCAGGAGGCATTTAAATGTCTCCTGAGCTCACTGGACTCACAACGCCGGAAGTGGGTTCAGAAGGCATTTAAATACCTTTTGAGCCCACTTACAGGTTGCACCCATCATGGACCTCATGAACCACAAACTGGTTCATAAACCAGGAAAATTTGTAGAAGTTCGTTGTTCGTGAAATTCATGAACCACAAACCTCCATGGACCTCCATTTTTCTGATCCGTGCCCATTCCTAATCACCACAGTTCTTTCTGAAAGGAAACATACAGTGAAAAATATATTACCTGTTTAAATTCATTATCAGGGGGAGGGTGGAAGTGGGAGATATCATACCTTCTTGTTCTGCTCTTTGATCTTGATCTCTGAGACCGATTTGATTTTCCGCGACCTCTTGATCGGCTTCGGCTGTGCTTTCGTTTGGATCCATATGAAGAACTACTGCTAGATCGATGCCTGCGCCTAAAATATCAACAGATACCACCATAACGTATTTATAAGTAGGACATAATATAACTAATATTTTTCACTTGTACTGCCACTGAGCTGGGTACTCTGCAAATGTATTGTGAGCAGAAAACATAGTGATGGGGCCAACTATAACAAGCTCTATCATGATATATTCAAGAGGGCTTTGTGTAATGCAAGCCAGTGACTTACCAGAATGAGAATGCTCTGTGCAGGTTGCAGAAGTGTTTCCTGAAAATGTATACTTTGAACACATTAAGTGATTCTATATTGTCAAGTTCAGGCCTGATACCACAACAGTTGAGCTGTATGAAGTCCATCAACTGTTATTTATAATTGCAGTACAGTTTTATTAACTATGCTGGATTTTCTGGAAGTAAGAGGCCATGGCTGTTCAGCATTCATTTCTTTAACTTCAAAGAATGATAACTGGTAGACAACGTACTATGAAATACAGAATATTGAATAACTGCCACTAGAAATACAAAACCTCACAAAAAACCATAAAAATTGGGGAGGGACAGGTATTTGCCCATATCCCCCCCCCCCTCAGACTTTTTTCAATTATTTCAGTGGGAAAATTGGAAATTTGTCTGCAGTATTGAAAATAACTGAAAAATTATGTTTTGGAATATATGAAATACTTAAGACAAGATTTTGCTCATCAAAGCATGCAGATTTTTACATGAAAACATTACAGAGTAATTCCAGTACACACTACAGACAGGACAAAGGCTTCTTTGCTTAAGAAAGGCTGCTTGCCTTCCTTTGGCGACTTTAAGCCAAACCAGACATTATATTTAACTAGTTAATGGTAATGTCTGGTTTAGCTCTTTAGTCTCAATTGGAAGAGACAACAGAAACCAGTAGCCTGAATATGCACTTCTCTTGACTGGACCCATGCAGTCCTCCTCTATAGCACGTTCCTCAAAGGACTGTAGCATAGACAGGAGAACAAGCAGCTTATTGCTCTGCCCTGCTGGAGGTGAAAGTACTAGTACTTTCAAGGATATGTTTCTTTAAATGTGAGCAATTTGTCTATAATATTCCATAATGTGTATCTTAATATACTATTGAATGGTTCAGTGTTTCCCATATTTAATTTGATACCTAAATACACTGTTGGTTTTGTTGTGACCACATGAAACTGCTTCTGTCCAAACACACTTTTCTTCTGTTTACTACAAAATTTGTGCTTCCTATTTTCAACTTTTATTTTCCCTACTTCTCAAATGGCTGAAACCAAGATACATTATAGAACAGAGTTCAACAGTGTGTGCGCTCTCTCTCTCTCTCTCTCTCTCTCTCTGTTAAAACTGAGTATATTTGAAATTTTGCTTGCAGAAAACTAAAGACTGTATACTTCTATAAATATGCCAAACACTGCAATTCTATCTGCTAACTAAATTATACATGATACATTTTATGTTGCTAAAGTGGTAACAAAAGTTTAGGCTCTATAAGAAAATAAGTATTCCATATATTTCAAGTCTTCCCAAAATTTCCATTTTGGGGGGGAGAGAACAGAAAAGGGGTGTTTTTTTTCCAATGGCTTTAAAATTTCCAGAAACTCTGTATCTGTACAGTACTCAGTTGTTCTGCTTCAACAGACCAGGCTGCCAGAAGCCTCTAATTATTAAAATTGCTAAATAAGTGCTTGGCATTATTAGATGCACTTGTCCACAACTTTCAGTTAACAAAATTTATCATCACCACAACATTCCTAAATTGTGGGAACACTATCCTGCATTTGAGAGCCTCCAAAATGTAGAGCAAGGTCCTGAATGGTCCCCCACCCTTGTTTCCATGACTGAGCTCAGAAGAAGCAACAGCAAAAGTAGTTCATAATGACAAGTGCAACAAGCCAATTTGTGGACCCTTCCTTTCAATTATTTTGATTAGGGGGATTCACCTGTCACGAACCGGAGGAGGGAATCACTCTGATGATAAAATACTACAAGCTTATTTGCTGGAATGGGTAATCAGATTGCCAGCTGCACTAAAGGGGCAGAGTGGCATTCTTAGGGTGATCATGACTTGGGAAAATCCAGGCAGACAGCAAAATATTTTCAAGCTCTTCCTCTGGTGGAAGACCCGTTTTTTTCCTTGAAAGCACCAAGAGCCAAATTGCCCAAACCCCAAAATGAGGGACTGTGGGAGAAACTCCCTGGTCTCTAACCGGATATAACACTGGTAAACTGGTTTGCAGCAGAAAATGGAGGGTAAGCCTCCCAGCTGTGATTGATCTAAACAAGGGAATACTCCCTAGTCTTCAATCCAAGAAATAAAAGTGCACAACAATGTGCCGTTCTGTCTAGCCTGTTTTTCTCTGGCCCTAAAATCTTAGATGAATGAGCCTAAGCTTCTTTGGATTCAGCAGCTGACCACTCCAGCAGTGGTTCCTAAAACGGATAATAATTTAGTTATTAGCTGTGACTCTACATTTTTTGTAAATAAAGTCTCTTCCCTCTGCCGGAACCTAGCTGTCAGGTTTGGAACCAGTAGCAGAATGGAGGCTCCACCTACCATGAACACATGAAACTGCCTTATACTGAACCAGACCCTTGGTCCATCAAAGTCAGTATTGTCTACTCAGACTGGCAGCAGCTCTCCAGGGTTTCAGGCAGAGCTCTTTCACATCACCTACTGCTTGCCCGCCTTTTTAACTCGAGATGCCAGGGATTGAACCTGGGACCTTCTGCATGCCAAGCAGATGCTCTACCACTGAGCCACAGCCCAAATGTTGGGGCTTTTTTGGAATCCTTCAGTCTGCTCTCCAAGGCAGAGGTCAACAGAGTCCTGACTGAGGTTCGACCTACTGCCTGTCCTTGGAACCCTGCCCTTCCTGCCTGGTGAAAGCCTGCAAGAAAATGGTAGGAGCAGCCCTGAGAGAAATTATTAATCTCTCCCTCTTTCAGGGCTCTTTTCCTAACTCCCATAGAGAGATGGTGGTGACAACTCACCTGGGGGGAGGGAAACTGTTAGATGAAAGGGACCCAGACAATTAGGGAATGGTGATTGAGTGGGCAGTGGATGAGCAGCTTCAGGAATTCCTGGATGAAACATCAGCCCTGGATCCCTTCCGATTCAGTTTCAGGCAAGGGTTTGGCATTGAGACAGCCCTGGTAACCTTGGCTGAACACCTCAGATTACACCTTCACAAAGGCAGACTAGCACTGCTGATCCTCTTGAATCTGTCAGCTTCTTTCAACAAGGTTAATTGTTTGGTCATGGTTGACCATTGTTGGATCCCCAAGCATCGAGAATAAATCCACGTTTCAAAGAAAGTAAAGTTTATTTCAAAGCATTGGAAAGATACTCAAACACGTTCTTTGTTAGAACTGAACACAAGCAGTTAGGGCAGACATGATAAAGGGATTCAAGTTAGAAACACAACCAATGGATAACGTTCCCGCTGGCGGGCAGGAGAAAACGGTTGCCTGCTCAAGTCTTGGGAACCAGGCGAACAGTAGACAAAACACAGGTGCAGTTCACAGGCTTGGTGCAGTTCACAGGCCTGATAAGTAAGAAGCTAACAGCGAAGCATACTCTCCCCCTCACATCCTCCAGTTGTTTTACTTTGGCATTACAGCATAGAAAACACAGGGGCTAGCTGGCAGGGACAGGGATCACATATGTACAAGCAGAAGTTACACAGAACACCATGGCAGCTTGCTGACATACTGCCCCCTCAAAAATACACCTTAACCGTCACCTCCCGGGCCGGGCGGGAGATCTCCCGGGCTGGGCGGGAGACCTCCCGGTTTGTCCGGGAACTTCCTGTGGAAACAACGAAGCAGGTAAGGGGCCCGAATATCCCCTTCTTCCACCCATTCGCGGTGCTGGGGACCGAAATCAACCCATTCAATGAGGTACCAGAGTTTACCACGTTTCAGCTTGGAGTCAAGGACATCCGCGATTTCAAAATGCTCATCCCCCTCAAGGATGATCGGAGGCGGGGGAGAAACAGTTGGCCTCCATGTAGAGGTGCCAGGATCTTTCTTCAGTAAGCTCATGTGAAAGACAGAATGCAGAGAGCGCAAATTCTTAGGTAATACAACATCAACAGCAACATCATTAATCACCTTGCGCACCTTGAACGGCCCGATAAATTTCCAACCCAGCTTCCTGCTTGGGCGCAACATCTTGATGTTTTTAGTAGAAACATACACAAGGTCCCCAGGTTTCAGATCAAATCCCACCACCCTACCCTTGTCTGCCTGGGCCTTATAAGCTGCTTTAGCAGCATCGAGAGTTTGACACAAAAGTGGCCATGCAGTTCTCAGAGAAGAACACCAGGTATTAGCATCACCCACGGGACGGTCAGAGACCCCCTCCAGGAAAGGAAGGGGGGGGCTGTCATACCCAGAGACAGCCTTGTATGGAGACATGCCAGTCGAACTATGCACAGTGTTATTGTAACAGTACTCAGCCAGGGGTAACAAATCAGCCCAATCATTTTGTTGGTAATTAGTGAAGCAACGAAGGTACTGCTCCAAAGTTTGATTAACCCGTTCTGTTTGGCCGTCGGTCTCGGGATGGTAAGCGCTGCTGAGCCCCTGCTCCACCCCCAAAATAGCGAGGAGTTCCTTCCAAAATTTAGAAACAAATTGGGTCCCCCTGTCAGAAATTAACTTAGTAGGCAATTGGTGGATTTTCACCACATGAGACATGAACGCCGCAGCTAACCTCTGCGCGGTAGGCAGTGAAGGGAAAGGAACAAAATGGGCTTGCTTAGAAAACAGATCAACCACCACCCAAATAACAGTGTTCCCCTTGCTCACAGGGAGATCAGTGATAAAGTCCATAGAGACCACTTCCCACGGTCTGGAAGGAGTAGGCAAAGGATGCAAAAGTCCAGGAGGTTTTCCCCCCCTTGGCTTGGTTAATGCGCAGGTCTGACAGGTGCGTACAAAGTCCAACATATCCTTGCGCATGTGGGGCCACCAAAATTGCCTGCGGAGGAGTTGAAGCGATTTAACAAAGTTCCAATG